ACAATTAAATTAATGCAAAAGTAATATATTTTTTGTTTTTTAAAAAATTTCAATAACAATGACTAGAAAGCTTTTTTTAAATTATAGTGTTTTTGTTTTTTAAAAATATTTTTTTTAAACATGCGCAGAGTCTTGCTACATCGACTATCTTATAGCCTGCTGCTTCATCGACTATCTTATAGCCTAACTGGCATGCTGTTACATTGACTATTTTATAGCCTGACTCGCAATGGAGTGCTGCTACATTGACTGAGGGTTTGGTTAGGGTATGCAGTCTATCATTTGATAAAAAAAAAAATTATTATTCAAGTTTTTAAATTTTTTCTGGTCTAGTTTATTAGTGTTTTCTTTAAAACCACAGTTTTAGAAGAAACTTTTCGACTACCATGCAAGACATGGCTCCTGTGTTGGTACCATATTGCAGAGATCTATATAAAATAAAGCATTAAAGCTTTTTTTAAAGAGCAAACTGTGGGACCATCTAAAAAGATGTATAAAGATTTAAAGCATGCTTGGGTGATTAGTTATTACCCTATTGTTAGTAAAGCAGGAGCTGAGAAAAAATAGAAAAGTGAGCCAGTTGTTGGAAGTGATCTTATATCAAGTCTAAAAAATATTATGCTTATTCAATTTTTACTTGTAGCTGTTCCCAATATATTTAAAGGGAAATATTTTTGGGAGGGACTCTTTATATGGTGTATAATGGGTAGGAAACCTTAGCATGTTCAAATCTAAAAAAAATTTTTTTTGCATTTTTGGGTCACCCTTATATACAGTATTGTGCAAATTAGTTGGGACAGTGGCAAAGTTGGAATAATTTTCACAATATGCCCAACTTTTAGCTATGATACTAAAGATTCTCATGTTAGACATTCTAGCAAACGCATCAGTGGCTTCAGTGCTACTCCAGGCTTTGTGCAGAAAGGTTGTGGCGGAGGTTGTGGCGGATTATTCACCTCGTATTCACAATCGATATCACTCCCAAGAAATGTGCAAACATTATAGCTCTTAAAGAACTTGCTGGTTTGAGCATTAGACAGATTTCTAAGAAAATGAAGGTGGCTAAATCAACCGTTGGTGACATCTTGAAAAGAAAAAAAGACACTGGTGAATCTTCAACATTGCGACAAGGAAGATGTGGAAGAAAACACAAGACAACACCTTGCGATGATACAGTTATCATCAGAGAAAGTATAAAGGATCCTAAGAAAACAAGTGCAGACCTTCAGAGAGATTTGTCCACATCAGGCATAAATATTTCTTCTTTAACTGTCTGACAAAGGCTCCTTGAAGTTGGCAGATATGCCAGAAAGCTTCTAAAGAAACAGTTATTGACATCGGTTATGAAGAGAAAACGTCTTCAATGGGCATGTAGATATTCTCAATGGACAGCAGATGACTGGAAAAAATAAGTATTCTCAGACGAATCGCATTTTGAAGTCCATGGCTACAGTTCAAAGTTTGTGAGAAAAAGCAAAGGTGAACCGCTTCAGTCAAGACATATTCAACAAGCACCCAAACATCCTCCTAAGAAGATGTTTTGGGGTAGCTTTAGTGCTAAAGGCCTTGGGCGACTCATGTTTGGGTGCTTGTTGAATATGTCTTGACTGAAGTGATAAATGCAAGGCTATTTTGGAGACTTATTTGCTTCCTAGTATAACAAGGGACTTTCTTGATGGAGATGGCATTTTTCAGCAGGATCACTCACCATGCCATACTTCATGTAAAATGCGCACATTCTTTGAAGAAAGTGGACTGGAGATTTTAGAGTGGCCTGGAAATTCTCCAGACATCAATCCCATTGAAAACTTATGGGCTATAATCAAACAAAGACTGAAAAGAAAACTGTTCGACAATGGCAAAGCTAATTAGTGCTGTAATTAGCTGGTATCATGATGAGCAAGTGACTAAAATGTGTTCAACTTTGATCGAATCTATGCCGAATTGTGTTCAAATGCTTGTAAAAGCAAAAGGAGGTCATATCTCCTATTAATTATATCATATTTTGTACCATTAACATGTTTTTTTTGAATAAAACTTCAATGTGGCAAATAATTGTGTTATTTCAACCACTGTCCGAACTAATTTGCACAATACTGTGTGTTTTTATTGATTATTTATTTAGTAAAAAATATTATTCTAAAAATTAGAAAAATAATTTTAAGTAGAAAAGAGGAAGAGGGTTCAGTATCAGGGTTCAGTATTAACTAATCTACAAAGAGGCTATTAAGAGCAGGTAAATTTTGACAATTGTTTAATATTCAATTAATCTTGCTATAAAAGCTTTTGTTTTCTTCTATCATAAGTATCACGTAAATAGTATTTATTTAAAATACAAATAATTAAAAATTTATATACTAATTTGAGATAAGCATGAACATACTTAAGTTAGGAGTCTGCATAATGCCTAAACAAGTTATACATAAAACAAGTTATATATAAAAATCTTTGTAACACTCACTCTTGTAACATTCAACAATATATTATTGCCTTCAATTTGCAAATAAATAGTTTTAATTAGTGTTCTTTGTACAATGCCAAGTTGAATTAGTTGACTTGTGTAAATTCAGCCTAAATATTGTGTACATCATCATCATTTTTCTCTAAGTTTATGTCATCTGGAGTTTCTAATTCTAAGCAATTGCAAAAGTTTTCCAGTAAATTGCATGTAAAATATATTCTGAAGTATATTGTTCAGGTGAGCATATGTTACTAAAGTCCTCCACCTCTCTTTATGAGATGACCAAAGAATTGCTTCACATCACTATCTACCTGAAGTTAAACTTTATTGAAATATATATTCTCTGGTGTAGTTGGCTGATCCATATGGTGTAATCATGACTGTTAACAAGCAAAAAGCAAAACCTGCATTAGGATTATATTCCAGTGTTATTTTTAATTTTGAAATTTTTGAGCAAACTGACTTTTTTGGTGAGGTGGTTACTTTTAACTAAGGACTGTGCATAATTTGAGCTTAATTGGACAATGTTTAGTAGTAGCAGGTTTAAAATAAAGTATATCATTTAAGAACAAACTTAAAGTTTTTCAATATTTAGTATACAAATCTCTAGGACAACCTAAGATATATTTTTTTACCTAATTCTGATTTGAAGAAACTTTTTGGTATAAAAAGACTAGAATAAATAAGAGGGGTGATGGATTAGAGGACTTGTTCACTTATTTTATACAACTTAAAAATTTATTTTTTTTCAGTTAGAACCTTTGATTTCAGTAAAATGGTGTTACCCCGTTACAATTTTAGAACTGCTTCAATAAAAAAATTTACTTGATCTGAAGGAATCAGTCGGAGTCTATATAGCATATTTTTGGACTGAATTGAAGTATATTGTGACCCATTTTGAACACAAGTTATGATAACTTTATATATGTATATATATATATATATATATATATATATATATATATATATATATATATATATATATATATATATATATATATATATATATATATATATATATATATATATATATGTATATATATATATATATATATATATATATACATATATATATATACATATATATATATATATATATATATATATATATATATATATATATATATACATATATATATATATATATATATATATATATATATATATGTATATATATGTATATATATATATATGTGTATATATATATATATATACATATATATATATATATACATATATATATATATATACATATATATATATATATATATATATATATATATATATATATATATATATATATGTATATATATATATATGTATATATATATATATATATATATATATATATATATATATATATATATATATATATATATATATATATATATATATATATATATATATATATATATACATATATACATATATTAGGGTGCGAAATTTACAAAAGCATGTAAAATTTCAATTAAAATGAATGCATTTGCAATTACTTTTAAAGAAAACATGTTAAAACATTTCTTTCTTTAAAAGCGTGTATTTTTTTTTTAAATTTTCTTATTGTCGTTAAATTAAAGTAATGTTTGCTTGCCCTTTTGAAAAATTTTTTTAAGTATATTTTTAAATAATCTAATAGAATATATAGAACTTTTATGTTTATTATAGTTTTCATTTTTTACTGTGCATTTAACAACACCAATAATATGATATTTTATTATTAAATATTTAATATTATAAATATAATAATATTAAGTATTTAGTAATAACTATATATAATAACTTTATATAAATTAAATTAAATACTTATTATTATATTATTATTTTTAAATATTTTAAAAAAGAAATGTCAAAGCAACTTTTATTTTATTTTTAGTTCCCTTTTATTTAAATTTTTTTAAGTTTTTTTTATTAGAAAATAAGTTTGACAAACTAAATTGAGAAAAATTAACTATTTGTATTAATGGATAAAAATTTACAGTCATATCATATATTAGTTATCATTATTTTGCACGCACTTTGCAAATGCGTGAAAAATTAATAAAAAATTTAAAATTCAATAAGCATCTTTGATATATCACAGGTTTCGAAGTGGAGGTGCACAACCATCTATTTATAAAAAAAAGTCCTCTAGAAGTTCTGTTAAAAACAAACAAAGAAAAGGGTCTTTAGAAAAAAAGGGGGAAGCGGGCACTTGCCTTTCTCCTTCCCCCCTGCTCCCCTTCATCATCCCCCCCTTTCATCCTCCACGTTGTCAGCCCTGTTATTTGAAATACCTCTTAAATTGGACATTCGCCAATAAATTAAGAAACGAACAACAATGTTTAATTAATAAAAACAATCGCACCTTCTATAATAAATATATATTATATATATACAAATTTTTTTTATGTCACATAATTTTATATATTGATTATATAATTTTATATATTGATATTATAATCTATATAAATCAAGTTTATGGTACTCTTTTTAAAAAGATAGTGTATTACAAATTATATTGGTGTAGCACGTTTGCTATAATAATAAGTTATTATTATAGAAAAGAAAGTCTACTGAACAAACAGATTTAAAGTATGGTAAGGAGAAATTTTTACTTTTATAATTTTTTGTAATGGTTTGTTTTGCATTTTAATAATTTGTTGTAATGTTTTGTTTTGCTTTTTTTTTGTTTGTTTTTTTTGTTTTTTTTGTTTTTTATATATATCAATCGATCTCAAGTTGCTAGTCAAATTAAACATAACTGGCAAGTTTTTAATTTTATTTGACCAGGACAAGAATTGCATAGATTGCAAAGTCATCAAACTGATCAAACAGAGTATGTTGATGGTAATACTAGAAAGAAACAAAAAATGGTGCCTATTGGTTATAGTTATAGTAAAGACGCAAACACAAGTATATTTTTAAAACTTTTTTTTTTTTCAATAAATTTTATATAGATTTTAAAACAAAAAGTAAATGTTTATATTTTTAATTTTACAGAATTCTTCATGAAAGATCTTATTAAGGTACTTAATTTTTTTTTTTTTTTTTAATTGGAAGCATTATAATACATAAATACTATACATCATTATAATTTATTTATATTATAGTTAATAATTATGTGAAATTATTTTGTTATAAAGTTTTGCATTTAAGATTAATTTTAAGATTTAAGATTATTGGCTGTTTTTATAATTAGGATTCATCTGGTAAGCAGTTAACAGCCAAGCAAATATCTATTCGTGAAGAGCTTTATAAAAAGTTTCCTGGGGCAGATAAAGATGCTCTTAATGATGTGCTAGAATTAAATGGGTATACCAACATTTTTTTGAAAAAAATTACTTTTGTTGATTTAACTTCTTTTTTTTTTTTCTTTCATAAAAGTGATTTATGTTTTGAAACCTTTTAGGTATTGTTTAAAAGCGACTATTTCACTGGTGAACTCTTCTTGTAATATAAAGGATGGAGTTGATAATGTTTATGCTAAGGGTTGGAAAGCTGTTGAGTTTCCTTCCCACAAGCTTACTATAAAAACTGAAGAAAATGTCAAGGTTGAAAATGAAAACAATATTTTTCAAAACCTTTCAGAAAAAGAACAAAATTATAATGATCTACGCGCAGAGGCATACCAGTTTGCAGAATTGCGAACACTATGTTTTAAAAAAGCTGCTGAGGCATTTCAAGAAAAGAATGGACCTGTTGCTCAATATTATGCAGACCAGGTATTTGCTCAATATTATGCAGACCAGGTATTTCATTTTAAAGTTGAGTGATTTATTATAAAGCAAGTTAAGTAGAAAATATTTATAGTTGTTTCAAAAATTTTCTTTTATATTTTATATTTTAGTTATATTTTAAATCTTTTTTCAAAAACTTAGGCTTGTTGTTATACAAATAAAATGAAAGAAGCACATGCTCGTGCTGCTAAACTCACACTTCTTCGAAGGTAAATTTTCCTAAAAAAGAGTTGCCTCTTTTTCTTTCTTTCTTTGTAAGAAAATCTGACATAAATTAAAATAGAAAAGCATGATGGATTATTAGAGGTATTTTCAGGAATGCAAAAACTTCACCAGACATCATAGACTTGCATGGACTTCATGTTAATGAAGGCATCGCAGCACTCAAAGCACATATAAAAGATTGTAAAAATGGTATAAAATTTTTTGTAAAAAAAAGACGTATAAGAAATAGTATAAATAAAGATTATATATTTATTATTGTTAAAAAATGACATTTGTTTATTTATAAAATAACATTAAAAAATTTTTCATTTGTATATTTTGGTGCGCATTGCTAAGGCTGCATAAAAGATTTCAAACGTTGATATATTAATAGGTATAAGGCAATTGCATAGTTTATTACTTAGAGTACCAAGTACTATCTGGGTTTGAGTCAAATTCTCTCTATTAATTTAAGTCATGACTACCAAAAATGTTAAACACTGGCTTTCCGGATTCATAAAATACGGATTTTGGTAAGTTTATTTGACAGTTACCTCTATTTCTATACCTATTCCTCTATATATCTACCTATATTGACCTCTATTTCTATACTTATTATTTACTTCAATATTTTTTTAGTAAAAATATTATAATTCCCTTAAATATTTCTCTTAGAGCAACAAAATAAAAAGTATTATGCAGACTTTTCCAGCATATTTTGAACATATTAAAACTCTCATCCTGTTTATTTATTTCTGAATTTAACATATTCCAACTTAAAGAAATTTTCTCTTTACTGCCTCAGATATGCAGGCTTACCTAATTGATAAACATTTAAGATAATCTCTAAAATAGATAGCGATTGCGATTGATTTGTAGCTTTGTTTTTCGAAATTTAAAACATTAATAGAGTTTTTAACCTCTCATAAAGACTGTAATTATTTGCAAAACAAAAGATGACCAGGAAGCGGGTTCTAGGGATGTCAAATAAGTTAACTCTATACAGATAGACTTTTTTTGTAGCAACTTTTTTGTGATAAACTCTTAACATGATGTTTTCTTACCAGTAATAGTCATCAAAATTTTAAATCTCCACTTGAAATTTTTTTGTTTTGTTTTTTAATCCTTTTTTTTAACATGATAACATAATACAAAAGTTTAAAAGAAAACAGTTTAAGCAAAAGGAATTTTAATTAATAGAAGTTTTCTTATATTATATATACACAATCCTTAAATATACGATCCACAATTTTAACTTACCCACTGTCAGTAGTACTGGCACCTACACAGTTGTTTGTACAAAGTGATATATATAAGTGGATTTTTTACATTCGCATATTAGATCTCTATTAGTTCCAAAATTCTATGTAATAGTAATTTATTTAAATGTAGTTTTTATACTTTTTTTTGGATAAAATAATGTGGTTTCTAAATATTTCTTTTAAATTTCAATAAAATGATGTGATATAGTTGATGCTATGTGATATAGTTGATGCTATACAATATAGTTGCTCTTATTTAGAGTACCTGCTTAAAAAGTATTGAACCATTGCAATAGACATAAAAAGTTTATAAAATGGTTTTTTATTGGTTATTAAATGGTTTTTATTTATAATAAATATTAACTATCAAATATCAACTCCAGTCATTTTGAGTTTGCCTTCAACCAACAAAAACCCGCATTTTTAAAAATGGTTTTGGTCCTATTTTTCCTAGTTAGACGTGTGTTGGAAAGCTGAAAATTTATACTTTTGCATATTTTGGGCCCAATGAATCTATTTTTTTTTATTTTTTTTTAGAAGTTGTCCTGAATAGTTAAGTTATAGTTACTACAAAAAATTAGAGAGTGAGCTTTTCTAAAACCTTTCTAAAAAAAGAAATAAAAACATGGTCAAATCTACTTAAATTTATTGCTTAAAAAACAGGTATTTTGATAAATTAAACGGGAAAAAAAAACTATTACAAAGAATCAGATTGTGGTCTAAAATAAAAATGAAAACCTCTTCAAATATACTTAAATTTATTACTTGTAAAACATTATAAAACATATTTATCAAACTAAGACAAATAAATTTAAAAAACAAAGACTCTAAAACAAATAGAGCACTTGGAAACAAGTTCAAGAAACAAAAGTAATATAAAAAATTTAAAAAAAAACTCAAAAAATTAAAATTTATTAGTTATAGTGTTATAATCAATAATTATTATATTAAATAATGATTGCATAATCATTACTTATTATTAGTGTTGGGACATTGATTTATGTATGGACATTAGGTTATCCCACTGGATTTGGCTAAGAATGATGGCTTGTGGTCTACGGTGACTAATGTTTGCATTCAATCAATTGAAATCCATTCTGTAGGTATTACGTCTGACTCTGATGTGCTAGCCCATAAGCGCAAGAAGTAGGTGTATTTAGCTTTCAATTCACCCGATTTGAAAGTGAGCGAAAACATAACGAGACCATACTAGACGACCAAATAGAACGTACTAATGCACTATACCATCACACCTGTAGACATCAACAGTCTCTAAAATCAGTATATCAAATATTTGTTCTTTGTTACATATGATCTACACACAGTGACTAGAGTGTTAGTTGTTTCTCCCCCTGCCCTCTGAGCATTTAACTTCGCTCTTCACCTTCACAAAAGTCTTACCACTCATTTTATATTATCTTATGATTTTTATTTTTATTCAACACCATCTACTAACTGTTTTTATAGTCACATCTCCCAGGTCTACATAAATGGACAGCTCTGTTGCTCACTTTTTGCGATCATGGTGTCTCATAAACAAATAAATACTATTTACTATATTTAATAATTATACAGTTGTTTACTTATTATTGTGTTGGGACATTGATTACTTTAATCACTCTCAACAATGGCACCCAACAGATATTATCTCTCTGTAGCCAATCGAAGTTTTGAGAAGGACTGTGAGGGTGCATAAACTTAATTTGAATATCATTTGTAGTAATATCTATCTCTGTAACTATGCCTACCCACTAAAACGAATCTTACTTGCATCCAACAAAATCATTTAGATTTGTTACAATTACAACATCAGACATTACTGCTTTTAATAGTATAAATCTGTCAACACATTGATATGCTTGCTTGTTCTTTTAAAACTGATTTTAATTTTTAAAATGGGTATGTAATGATGATAATTTCTGGTACCTAGAACAGTTTTTTGTTTCAAATTGCTCCTTTAGTTGCTGTTGCCTTGCATTAACTTTTTCTTTGGTAATTTTATAAAATATGATTGTATTTATATTGGTGATGCAAAACTCAAGCATATCATTAACTGTCAATGTTTGGTTTTCCAATGGTTTTTGTAAACTTGCTCTTGCTGTTTTTCTTTTAACAGTACCACCTATGCTATCACAAGTGGATTTTCCATGGCTGGTTGCAAAAAATACTCATTCAGCTGTAATCTCAAAATCTTCTTTATGGTGGCATAGATTTATAAAGTTTTTATAGTTTTTATAATGAGCAGAACATCCATTTGAGAAATAATAAATTTTATTGAAACCAACTAAATATTCTTTAATGTACTTTACATACATTCTTTATAGACTCTACTTTTCTTATGAAATTCATACACAAAGCATGTATCATGATCATTGTCATCACTTAAAAATCAGAACAACTTATACTGAATATTTGTTTTAGGAATTTCCTTAAAATACATAACAACTGGGTGTAGTGTACATCATTTATTCCAATGATAATTTTGTATTTCATCCTGTATAACAAATTGATAATCTCTTCAATATCCGCTAGTATAATACATTCATTGTAACCTAAATTATTTTTTAGCTCTTTCAAATTGCGAGTTTGACATTTAGCAATGTGAAGTTAGTTAAATAATGTGAGAAACAACTAGTTTTTTATATTCAAATAAGTTAACTGTCTGAGTAATTAATTGTGATCTATCAGTACTTTCCCATTGATTAAATTGAATTTCTTCTTCTTCATCTATTTCACTTAATTCCTGATCTAAAAATGCCTTTATATTATCATAACCTGGACATTTGGCACATCTATGAACCATGCATTTATTGTTGCTTGTATCACATATTATTTTGACATTAAATCTTTGTATGTAACATTCCATTGGACAGCATTTACAAGCAATATTGAGTTTTGATGGTGAATACAAATACATACACAGTGTGTACCGTTTGGTTCTACACTAATACACCATTTTGGGTGCAAACTAAAAAAAATTGAAAATCCTATTTTAAAATTAGGGTATTTACTTTTAAAATCAATATAAAACTCATGAAGGTTGCACAATAATAATCTTTTTTGTTGTGCGGGACCACTTTTAATATAAGCATAATTCTAGAATGTTCATCTCGTTGAAAAAAATCTTAAACCAAAGCTATAAGAAAGTCAGGTATTTTTTGGCCTATTTTCTTGTTAGGTATAGCAAGAATCCTATTTTCACCTTTAAGTAAGATGTTCAGAAACTTCAAAATATTCTGAAGCATATTTTCTAGACCAAGATTCAGTTGTAAGTGTTAATAATTGAATTTTTCTTCTAAATGGTTCAACTTAAAGTTTTTCAATGGTTCAACTTAAAGTTTTTTTTTTTTAATCTGTAGGATGACTGGAAACAGTTGAGGCAATATTAAAGTTATCTATATTTACTCCATAAGCACTTGCTACTCCTTTCATTTTTGTGTAGGCTTTGACTAATTTTCTTTTTGCTGTTACAACTCGTTGATACTTTGCAACTTCTTGAACTTGAATTGGCGAGACTCCAATTGATATTAAATAGTTGTCTAACTGTTGCTTATTACAAGATTTTTAACAAACTTTAACAAATGATACATCACCAACAATTTCACACTCCATTTTATTATTAGAAACTTCATCACAATTGGACAAAAACTGAATACATGAGCGACAAAATTTCCATCCTGGTTTACAGTCTAGATTTTTCAGTTTTTAAACACACATCTTACAGAACCATTTTTAAAAATGCACGATTTTGTTAGTTGAAGGCAACCTTATAATAGCTATATCTTAGAAAACGATTGAAATTAGACTATAAAATTTTCAGGATGTTGATAATTTACTATTTTTAATAGTTTAAAAATTATCAAAAGTTGAGTCTTAGGGTTGCATTTTCAAAAAAAAAAAATATTTATTTTCACATCGAATTGTCAATTTGAGACTATATATTCAACTTTAATATATATTCAACTTGTTTTTTCGTGAAACTATATTCAGGTTTTGTTTTTCTTTGTGTGTTTATTTATTCAACTTCTATTTTTCTTTGTGCGACTATATATATATATATATATATATATATATATATATATATATATATATATATATATATATATATATATTTCAGTTTTAAATGCAGTAGTATATAAATAATTTTCAAATTTCAGATTTGCTAACATTTAAATCAAAATTTTAAAATTAAAATAATATTAAGTACATTTATTAAATGCTTATGTTTTTTATTGAAAAAGTTATTTGAATACAAGACATAAAATTGTTATTTTAATTTTACAAATATGGCGCGATTTAATATATATAAATATACTATGTAATATAAATATTGATTAAAAATTGTTTAAAGCATTTAAACATTTAATTACGATTTATTTAAAATATTAATAACTACTATTTGCTACAAAATTTCAAAGGAAAACATTATGTGATAGTATAAATTTCTAAGAAAGTCAAAAAACATTAACCATTAACACTTTGTTAGCTGCTAGCAAAATGTTTATGTTTATTGTTTTTTGTAAATTATCGATTCTTTGTTTATTTAGTACCAGAAGAATACCTCTGCTACTAAATGACAATATTTTAGTGCTGATATGTTGTGTTTTTGTGTTGATAACACTGTTTTATGTTGTTTATATTCGTTTTTATCTTTGAATGAGGTTGTCTCGTCTGGCTCAGAGAGTTTAATCTTAAAATTGATTATTATAGTTAGCATAGTTCTATAACTAATAAATTAAATTTTTTATTAGTTTATAATAAAAAGTTTTTATTATAATATTTTTTTTCCAGTTGGTATCAATTCTATAAAAGTAATTACTGGTTGGGGAAAACACAGCAGAAACAGCAATTCACCTCTTCGAAATGCTGTTTTAACATATTTACAAAAGAGTAATTATCGGTAAGAATTTTAAATATTATTGTTTTATAATAATTATTGATAATAATCTTATATTTAGCATTCTGCCATCTGTGCAGTTTTACTTTTGGACTCATAAGTAAAGGGGTTCATTTTTATACTAAGAAGGGTTAGTTCAGATTTAGGTTAGATTTTATTATTTTATAACATTTAATAAATTTTTTTATTAAAATGAATAGATTAATGCTAAAGAACATAAATAATTTGTAATTGAGGTTTAATTGTAATTGAGAAAATTGGTTTAATTATATTTTATTACATAATACTATGCCACTTAAACAACAAAACACATATCAATGTAACTCAACTCAGCTTATATATTTATATCATAAAAAACTAAATGTGTCACTAGTGTCATTTAAAGTCATTTAGTTACAATCACATTGTAATTAAGTTTATTTTCAAACTGGATTAAAAATTATTAAAATAATTTTTTTAATATTATTCAACTTTAACGATTTAAATTATTTATTTATGTGTATATATATATGTATATATATGTGTGTATATATATATATATATATATATATATATATATATATATATATATATATATATATATATATATATATATATATATATATATATATATATATATATATATATATATATATATATATATGTATATATGTATATATATGTGTGTGTATATATATATATATATATATATATATATATATATATATATATATATATATATATATATATATATATATATATATATATATTTGACCAGTTCAAAAAAAAATAGTTTTAAATCAGTAAGTGGGTAGATGTTTAAATATTGTTAATTGATGAAAAAAATAAATCATTAAAATTTAAAAGCATTATTCCAATATTTAGTAACAACTCAATTAAATTTGCTTTTCAACAGGGTCCTATTTTTTATATAAATAATAATCGTTTTATAAAAAATATATTTTTAAAATTATTTTTAAAATTATTTTTTTTAATGAAAGAAATCTAAAAATGCACTTTTTTTGTTTTGAGTTAAAAAAAAAAAAATAGTTTATATGCAAATAAACCCAAATAATAATTGTAGTATAAAATGATTTTTTTTTGAAATTTTTATATACTTTCGCTACTTTTAAGACCCAACATGAGATACTTTTGAAAATTTTTTTTTAAAAAGAAAAGGTAATTGAGCTTTTCCTAAAACACATTATTTAAGCTTGCAGTTTTGAACTAATTTTCCTGACCACAAATCAAAGTTTAACCCAAAAAACCAGTAACTGGACAAATGTATAAAAATGAAAATCAGAATTTTGATGTCATAATGGTTTTAAACCTTTTTATAGATATTATGAAACAATTTAAAACCTTTTATATACACCTAAAATTTTAATGAATAGACTAATTATGTGGTCAAAATATATGCAAACTAAATTAGAAGAAAAAAATATTATAAAGCAAAAAATGTTGTTTACAAAATCTATGGTAATAATGTAAGATTGTATTAAATATTGCGCATTGAAAATTATTTTATTGTTGAACTATCTATTTTCTACATTTTAAGAGTTGTTAGATTAAAATAGGTAAGAAAGCAAATAAGTTATAATAATTTTAAATACTTCATTAAAAGAAAATTTAAAGTGTATTTTTTGGTTTAAAAAATACTAAAAATAGAAGATCTTGTAGTATCCTGTTATATTGTATACATATTTTGAAGCTTTTATATACATATTATGAAAATATGTTTAATTTAGCTGCTAATATTTGCTAAATTAATTTTCATTTGGAATGATTTGCAAAAATATTGTATATAAAATATAACATAATACAATATGTTATAATATAATGAATATTTTGATTCAAAAATAAGACTATTTAATTATAGTTAATATCATAATAATTAAAAGAAAATATTTTTACATAAAATAAATGAAAACCTATTGATAAATTGTTTTATTTTTAACTTTAGACTATTGTTATTATGTCAAGCATTAATAGAAATCAAATCCATTTATTTATAAGAGAAAACAAATTATCATTATCAAATGAAAAAGATAAGCTGGTAGTTTTTAATTTTATTGGTGAACTTGGCAATACTAAATGTAAAGTTCAGTTTTCAAAATTTACTTTTGAATACAGAAAGCGATGGGCTGCAAGTGGATGTTACATTGGCAAGTTTTTTAAATGAGCTGTTGTTTGCTAGCAGTTGCAAACGTTGGAAACAAGGAAGGAGAAAGCATGCTAAAGTAGTTAAAAATTTATCAAAAACTCAAACTGATGAACATGTTCAAAATACTCCCAATGAAGCCTTAGCACTCATCTTAGATAATAATCTGAGCAAGTCTGATTATCAGCGTCTAAGGAACAATGCTGTAAGAAAAGGCTGTCATTTATATCCAACTTATAATAATGTACGGGAAGCAAAAGTACTTTGTCTTCCAGAGAATTACATTTGGACTGTCACTGACTACTCTGCAGAGGTCAACATGCAAGCATTGGTCAATCATGCAGCACTAAGTTTAATAGAATGTCAAGCAGAAGTTATTAACTCCTTAGAAAATTTTCAACGAATGACCCTAAGGTCCAAAGTTGGCTTTGATGGATCAACTGGCCAAAGCCTTTATACTCAAATAACAACAGAAGAAGAAAACAGAAATTTTATAAATAAAGCCAGCTTGTTCCTCACTTGCTTTGCGCCTTTGCAGTTATCTGGATATTGTAATGGCAAAAAGAAGATTATTTGGTCCAACCCTCATCCATCATCCACTTTATTTTGCAGACCAATAAGATTCAACTATAAAAAAGAAACATCAGATGTAATAAAAGAAGAAGAACAATTCCTTTACAACTCAATAGAAAAATTATTTACTACAAAGTATGACAAATTAACAGTTCTGCACAAAATTGAAATTACAATGGTGGATGGGAAAGTTGCCACAGCACTATCCACAGCAACAAAATCATTGCAATGCTGCTCAGTTTGTGGTTGCAATACAAAAAAAATGAATGACTTAAAACTGCAAAAAATCTCCCAATTACTAAAACTGGACTCAATTATGGGTTTTCAACTCTCCATGCATGGATCATAACTATGGAATGCCTTCTCAAAATAAGCTACAAATTAACAATCAATACAAGAACCATCAGAAAATAAAATAATTCAAGATAGAAAGACATCAATTCAAAAGAAATTTCGTGATAAAGTTGTCTTTTTATTGATTTTCCAAGGACTTGTGGTTCAGGATCTTCAAACACTGGCAATACTGCTCGACGATTTTTTCAAAATGCAGAGAAGACTGCTGAAATTCTTCGACTGGATGACATCATCATTAAGAAATTGCATGTTATTTTGTGCACTTTATCGTCACAATATGTTATTGACTCTTCTCGATTTAGAGACTTCTGCATGCAAACAGCTGAACAATATGTGAACCAGTACCCATGGTACCACATGCCACAGAGCCTGCACCAAATTTTGCCAATTGGCATGTTTAGTGAAGAGGCACAAGAAGCACGTAACAAGGACTTCAAGAAGTTCCGGGAGTCTTTTTCAAGAAAGTGCTCCCGTTCTAAAACAAATGAAGAATTGTTAAGGAGATTAATATGTTCATCTGATCCAATTATTAGTAATTTGAGAACACCACATCATCCAAAGAAGAAAGACTTTCCAGATGGAGTGCTAGGGTTACTAAAAAAAGTACCACTTGAAGATTTTGTGTAAATATATTATGTTGTTACATTTTTACTGCAATGTTACTTGAATTGTTTCTCTTTTTATTTTATCTGCTTATCTGTTTACTATATGTTCATTGCCACAAATTAACAATGTTATAATGACATTTTGTTTACCCCATTATAACTAAGGATATTGTAACTAAGCAATATAAGTATCGATAGCAACAAAATAAAAAATAGCACCTTCATAAAAAGTGCACACATCTTATTAGTACTCATGCCAAATTTAGTGAATGTAGCACTCATAAAATATCTGCAAATACCAAAAATAGGTTGTTGCTAAGCAAATTAAAGGTATCAATAGCAACGAAATAAAAAAATAGCACCTTCATAAAAAGGGCAGACATCATACTCATGTTAATTTTAGTGATTATAGCCCTAATATTAAATTAGTTATGAATTTTGTCCAGTAAAAGTGAATTCTGGCCCACTGTGCAAAGGTTAACCCAATTTAAGTTCAAAAAGTATTTTTTTTGTATACAATTTTGAAATGGTCAAATATATATATATAAATATATATATATATATATATATATATATATATATATATATATATATATATATATATAATATATATATATATATATATATATATATATATATATATATATATATATATATATATCCTTATAGTGTAGTCAAAAGAGACTTTTATGGTAAAAAAAGTCTCTTTTGACTACAATTTTTTTACCTTGTCTCTTAAGCTGCATTTTATTGTCGTCGAAATGTCAAAGCAATTAAATTAATGCGGAAGTACATTAAATTTTATTGTTTTTTAAAAAAACTGCAATAATAATGACTAGAAAGTTTTTTTTAATTAGTGGTGTTTTTGTTTTATTAAAAAACATTTTTAAAACATGCGTAAGTGTTGCTACATCGACCATCTTATAACCTGCTGCTACAAAGGAGTGTTGCTACATCGACTATCTTATAGCCTGACTCGCAACGGAAAGCTGCTACATCAACTGACAAGTAGCCTGACTCGCAAGGGAGTGCTGCTACATCGACTGACAAATAGCCTGACTCGCAAGGGAGTGCTGTTACATTGACTGAGGGTTTGGTTTGGGCAGACAGTCTATCTTTTAAAAAAAAAAAATTTTCTGAAGTCTTTTAACATTTTCTGGTCAGGCTTATTAATGCTCTCTTTAAAACAACAGTTTATGGGAAAAACTTTGTGACTACCATGCAAGACTATATATATATATATATATATATATATATATATATATATATATATATATATATATATATATATATATATATATATATATATATACACACTTACTAAAGCGTGT